TTGGATGACATATGATTGTTGAGGTAATCTAAACATGAAGGAATGATATAGTCTGAACAAAATAGGTAAGATGGAAAATGGAGATGATGAGAATGGACATTTCTTCAGAGAAAGTAATAACATTTAATGACTGACTAGGAGAGAAGTGATCAAAAGTGATTACCAAATGCTCAAATGGGAAAATGGCGGCAGAACTCTGAAAATCTATAAAGTTGGAAATATTATAAAATGTAAAGAAAAATTACTCAAAATTCTTTTGCCCCAAAGCCCCATGATACTTCATACCAGTATTCTTTGTTTCCAGGAAACACATTTGAACTGTTAAAGTTTCCATATATGTATTAATTTAGTTCTATTGTGAATTCTCTTTTAAAGGTTGATTATCATTTTATTATAGCATATGTAATGAAGCACTTTATCTGAATAACTACAGATTTTATAAGTGGCTGAAATATCACCTTTTCCTGCAAATGGGAACTTACAAAGAGTTGTTTTAGAGATGAGAAACTAAGGCCTGGGAACTAGGGCTTGTATTGCTCTGAATCATATGGGTTAAAAATGATGAATCGTATTTGTCTAGCACTGAAGAGGTATCAGGCACTGTCCTAAGCGACCTATGTATATTGAATGATTTCACCTCACAATAAAGCCTATGAGGTAAGCATTATATTACTACCATCCTCATTTTGTAGTAGGAAAAAGTAATGTTCAGAGAGGTTAAGAATTATTTTAAGGTTGCACAGGTGGTAAGTGGAAGAGATTGGACTTGAGCCCAAGTCTTCAGGCTCAGAGTCATTTCTTTTATCCACTATATTATAGTGCCAATCACACCAAGAAAGTCAAGAAGCAGTTGTGACAGTCTTTCATCCTGAAGGTCAAACACAGAACTGCATACATTTAGAGATATTGCGTTAGAGTTATTTCTCTCCTGCATGTATGGAGGATACATTTCTTGTAACTACAAGGAGATCCTCATAATTCAGAACAATAAATCAAACTCAAATAATTTTCTCTCACTTGTGCACAGGGGCATGCTTACAAAACATTTATAAAAACCTCTTTAAGGAAGAGCGTGTTTCAATCTTTGAGGTCACCCGTGTAGCCTACTGGGCTTTCCTGGTGCCTCAGACAGTAAAGAATCTGCTTGCAATGCAGGAGCCTATTAATATTGAAATACAGAAATGAAAGGAGACAATTAAACCTCAGCTGTGCTTAATATGGAGAAGGAAATGACAGCCCACTCCAGTCTTGCCTGGAGGGGAGCCTGGCAGGCTACAGTCCATGGGGTTGCAAAGAGTCAGACACAACTGAGCGACTAAGACTTGTGCTTAATAAGCATTCAAATATCTTGAGTCAAGAAGGTTCAATGGAAAAAACATATTCTCATGCTAATTTGCAACATTGTGGTTGAGAAGAGGAATTTTTAAAATTACCAAATCATTTTCTAGTAACATTCAACAATATTTCTAAAATATTTTTCTATCATCATCAGAAAGAGAAACATTTAAATTATATTTGCAAATATTTCACTTAATAATAATGCAGCCTCACTGTATTTTTGGAATATTCAAATACCTAAGGATTGTTTTCAATGACAAAAATTTTAAATGAATGCTATTCTATTTGTATTATGGGGCATGTTCTATCACTCTATGCTGAATCAAAATCTTAAAGGATTTACATCTTTTTGAAAGAATCAGCATCAAAACATGTATATTATCAAGGGTGAAACAGATCACCAGGCCAGGTTGGATGCATGAGACAAGTGCTCAGGGCTGGTGCACTGGGAAGACCCAGGGGGATGGGGTGGGGAGGCGGTGGGAGGGGGGGTCAGGATGGGGAATATATGTAAATCCATGGCTGATTCATGGCAAAAACCACTACAATATTGTAAAGTAATTAGCCTCCAACCAATAAAAATAAATGGAAAAAAAAAACCACACTGTAGAAAATAAAAAAAAAAAAGAGAAAAGATAAAAAATTACAAATGTTCACCATCTTAATGAAAAAATGTTCAACATTTTGTATATATAATAATTTCTTTCTGTTTTTTCCCCTAAACATAGTTTTTAAAAATGACAAAAAATAGCTTTAATCACTTGGCTACTTACAAAAACAAACAAAAATAAATGAAAGAATCTAACATCTACAGAGAACCTTTTACATTTGCTAAAACCTTGAATGAGGTTTTACTGTAAACATAGAACTGTAGTTTCTTAAATTATTATAACATGTATTAATATAATTGCAAGCAGTGATGGATGTAATACCTTTTGATTTGTAATATCAAGAGTGTTTTTATAGACCTCCACAAAGCCTTTTGAAGGGACGAGGGAGGGATAATCTATGTTTTGGAAGGTTGGGGGCACAATTGCCTTCCTATACTCTGCTGCTGGATGGGATGGAGGAGGGATCATCTAAGTCTTAGATGATGGAAAGGAACAGCTGCATCTCCACCTGCCGCATCTTGGATGGAGCAGACATGGGATCATGTAGGTCTTAGGAAGATTAGAAGCAGAGCTTCATTGTCATCCTTTACATGTTTAAGCCACCAGACAGAAGTTATTGCAACACTGTTTCATGTTTTATTAGGAATGCTGCAACACAAAAGAATAAGAGAATGCTCCCAGGAAAAGAGGGTAAGGGGTCAAAATGGCTAGAGGAATTTAGATTTTGAAGCAAATACAAACCCCGAAGAATAAAATAGTTCTCTAGAAAAAAAGGGAGACCATTTGCCCTAATTTTAAATGCAGTTACTATAAAAGAACTATCCCTCAAATGTCTATTATTTGAAATTTAAAAAATCTCTTAACATCGTTTCCCTTTAAATTTATGGTGTTAATATTACTGCTTCCTTAGTTAATGATAAGCTTTTAAAATAATTAATTTGTTTAATATACTTTTTAATGTGCATCTACATAAAAACTTAGGGAGGACATTTAGCAGACAGTATTTAAAACATTTATTTTCTCACATTTTTCTGTATTTTACCCTTTCTGTTTTTCTAGTATGCCTGCTAAAAATCAAGTATTATACTCCAAGGCAAAACCATCTCCTAACCTACTCTATTCATTTTAATGGTAAATAACTAATGATCTCTATTTGAATTAGTAAAGTAACCCAAACAAAAATAATTGAAACACATTAAAAATTAATTTCATATGTAGATATATTTATCACATGTATCTTTACATTAAATAATATATTTGTTGTTAACGTTCACATCTTCCACAGCAATAAGAGTTAGCACGCTTTTCAACATGGGATATTTATTGGATAAAATAAAATGTCACTGAAAGACAAAGGGCTGGAAGGACACAAAGAAACAATGCAGTGAAATTACTTAATTTGACAGATAAAAAATGAGAAGTACAAACATACTTATGATTATCATTATTACAAAGTAGTATTTAAAAAGTAGACTCTTTTCATTTGGTCTTGAACCCCCTGCTCTAATTATAAAATCTAAGGACCTGAAAGAGTTTTGAATAATATTCCATAGTGTCTAACTCCCTCTGAAATTTTGACCGCCGTTTATGACATCTCAAGTGCTACTGAACACTGTATCAGTGCCTACAACTTGGGGACTTTAGTCCTTAAGGCACTCATCCATTTTTGAAGACCTCACATTAAAAAGAAACACTTTTACAGAAAGAAATCTGTGCTTTAGATTTCATTCAATAAACCTGATTCTTAGGCTGGGTTGAGGGAGATAAGGAACCATGTCGGGGTATGTGAATAGGGAAGACTGAAATAGAGAGGATTGAGTGCGCATGTACAGAATTTAATTCTCCTTTCACATGACAGTGTTTCAAGGCCCAAGAGCTTGAATATACAATATTTTCTCTTAGGTCTCACATCTTAGTTTCCAGTCCTTCTAAGTCACAGTCTGGTGAGTTCTAATGTATTGCATTTAGGGCTGAAACAAGTCCACAGACATAATCAGGTCAATGTAGGTCTACATTCCTCATTCTAGATAAATCAGTCAGTATTACAGTCTCTTAAATCCATCTGGGCAGAAGTTTTGCTTGCTTATTCGTTTTTTGGAAAAAAAAAAGCCCAAAAAAAATCCGAAACCCAACTGGTTCCGAAAACGGAACGGGGGGGAAATACAATATCTCTCTTCACCTTAAGGTTGCAAGTTTAATGTCACAGAATACTTTGAACAATGCAAACTTTACATTTAACAATTTTATATGGACTGCTTCTAAGCAAAATCTTCCATTTCTGAAACAGCACATGTGATTTTTTAAATTTAGTAAGGACCTTACATTCATCGCATTAACTTCCAAATTTTCAGGTGGTTTCTGTCTAGATATTTGCTGTGTCTGATTATGTTTCCCTGAATTTCCACAGTTCTGCATTTTTGTGGGCATATTTCCTGTATGTTTCTTTAAATTCTACAAATATGTTGACAGGATAGAGTCCAGAAAAAGAGTTCTGCATACCTCCAAAAGAAAATTCCCTCAGAGTGACTTAACCTTAGGGATGGTTAGTCACCAAATTCCTAATCTCTCCTGTGACTGATACTAGAGACCTAAGCCAATGCTAGGCTCAATTTAAGATCATTCTAGGCTGCCATCACAAACATTTACAATTAAGCACTGAAGCTGATAACCCCTAGCTATTATGTTATAAGATAAATTTAGCATAAAGTGAAGTATCACATTAAAGTTTTCATGTGATATGTAATCAAAAACCTACTTCAAAGAATACTTTAAAATAGATTAGGAAAATTATCATTTTTCTGGGACTAAAGATCTTAAGCAGTTTTGAATCTCAGTATTTCATCTACTATTATTTCTGAAATAATAGTACTGATATAAATCCTGAAATATTCAGTATAAGTACTGAAATAAATACTGAAATACTCAGTATTTCATCATATCTATTATTAAAGAACAAGAGGTAAAATTTTCTAAAAAACATAGTTCTCATACACATTCTTCTATTGTTACCATGGTAATATTTTTCTGGCAGTAATTAAAACAGAGTCTTACCAAAGATGCTGGGTTCCTTGCTAGGCTGGGGAGTCAAGGAGGCATTATTCATAGCATCAACCTGGGTTCTATGATCATCTACCTGGAAATCATTCACTGGAAAACATATATAGCCAATTAAAATAGAAGACATTATCACAAGCTCATAACTGTACACATAAAGCACGGAAATTGTGTTTAGAAAAGTAAATGTCTAGAAATTTTATTTACATTGTTTTGTTAAATTGTGCTGCATGCTCATTCGCTCAGTCACATCTGACTTTTGAGACCCTATGAACTGTAGTCTGCCAGGCTCCTCTGCCCATGGGATTTTTCCAGGAAAAGATACTGGAGTGGGTTGCCATTTCCTCTTTAAGGGGATCTTCCTGACCCAGGGATCAAACCTGAGTCTCCTGCATCTCCTGCATTGGCAATTGGATTCTTAACCACTGGGCCACCTGGCAAGTGGTGAACAGTCAATCTTTAAACCTATCTAAAGATATATCTTATAATATTTCCATGAGTATCTTTGATATTCTTTGTCAAAACAAAATGGGGGTAACAGTTAATGTTTAAGTCACTCCTTTAATTAATTTTATAGATAGATAAAACTGACCTTCAGTGGTAGTTTCCAAAGAACCATTTCCCCTCAAATTGTTATAAACCTAAGGGATCTTAGCAGTCCTACTCTTGTGCCTAAATTTTACTATAGTATTCTCAGAAAGGAAAATTAAATAAGCTAATCTAAAAAATTTTTTTTGATGAAAATAATTTCCACTATAAATTTCCTAGGGCTTCCCAGGTGACACCACTGGTAAAGAACCCACCTGTCAATGCAGTAGACATAAGAGATGCGGGTTTGACCCCTGGTTGGGAAGAACCTTTGGAGGAGGGCATGGCAACCCACTCCAGTATTCTTTCCTGGAGAATCCCATTGACAGAGGAGCCTGGGATTTACAGTTCATAGGGTCACAAAGAATTGGACACGACAAAGAATTTAGCACACACAAATTTGTTAATTCTCTATTTCTTAAAAAAAATTAAGATAGTGACTAATTTATATCAGATTTAGAGTGAATACAATGGATCTTCACTTGCATGGCTGCAACAAAATGGGTAAACCTGAACATCCTTTAAGATGTCCTATTCTTAAAAGAATGCCTGCAAAATGAAGTAAAAGGAGATGAGAAATAAACATACATGTGTCTTCACAGGTGTTCTTGCATTCTTCCAGTGATTCAAAGTTGTTGAGATTCCCGAGGCACCCACCATACTTGAAACGTTCACACTGCTTTGATTGATTGTTATAAAAATACCTAGTAATATAACCTCGACAGATTCCAGCATCTTCTTCCAAAAAGCAGAAATCTGGCTTTTCTAAAAATTATTAAAACATCAGAAAGTAGTATTCTTTTTTTGAGTAATTTAATTATGCTAATTAAAAATATAAACAACTGGTTAAGTTGAAGTTATTTAAGGAGTACATATGAAAAGATAAAGATAAAAGGTAAAATATAACATTATCCTTAACAATATTTTATCCACTTTGACATTTAGAACCATGTATGTACAACTGTCATACATTGAGTCTATTGGAATTTCAAGTTCTAAATTTCTCATAGTTAATTAGCACATTAACGATCAACTCTTTCATAAATTGAGAAAATAAAAAATATTGGGGTTTGATTACCCTTGGTTTGGAAGTGTAAAGTATTATGGCAAAAATTTGGTTTATTTATTTTTGTTAACCTTTTGCATCTACATTTGGAAAGAGCCACAAATTTCATAATTTTCAGGTGTGTAATCTAATTTTAAAGTATACTGTGCTTCTTCATTATGAATGGTTTCAATTTTTATAAACAAAAAAGTTTTGATGGGGGGTGGAGGCTTTCATGGCTATACTTAGAAGCTCCTAAATTCTTATGCTGAAATTAATATCTGTATTAGGTATGACATCCTCCACCACTGTATCTCTTGTTTTTCTTCCAGGCATTGGAATGACTCCAATAGTGCAGAAAGGAAATACATGTTCAGGGATTGGAGAGGCTTTTGAGAAAGCCCAATACCCACTCTTTGATAGTGCTCCAATCCAGGCTAAACACAGCTGTCATAAAAGTTGTGCCACTGTGGTTTACATTACAAGCCTTGTTTACATGCATACGCAGAAAGAAGAGCTTCAAATTATTTTCAAAATTATTATGATTGCAAGATATACTGTGCTTGAATTTTTAGGGAAAAGCTCAAGCTTCCCCATTTCCTGTCCATTCTAAAACTATATATTACCATAGAGGAAAAATGAACTGCACATTCCTTTCACAGCTTAAAACATGTTGTGTCCATCTCAAGGAAACAATAGTAATGAGTGTTTATTTTAAAAAGAACATGTATTTAATAATGTTAATGATTTCCACAACAGTAGAAAAATCAATCTGCATGAAAAAATTATTTTATTAAGTAAAACATACTATTTTAATACAGAGTAAAGTATCTATTTCTGTGACTTCTCAAAGTACTGATTTGAAAATTATTTTGTTCACTGTTTACTGCCTCTTGTTTCTTAAGGTGAATGTTACTATTATTTTCCATGGTAAAAATTTGTGGTTAAGTATGATATATGAAACAAGGAAAAATCCTACCTCCTTAAATTTTTATAATATACTATAAGAGAAAAAAAATACATTTGATCACTAAGTTGATTTGTTTAGGTCTTAGTATGTACTTCTTATAAAACTTTAAATCATATTAACAAACAATACAAGAATTCTATGCTTAACAAAAGGGAGTAGGTAAAAAATTATTGACTATAAAGATGAGAAAATGGTAATAAATTATGCTGAAATGTAATTAAGGAATTATACAACTGAAAGTTGCTATCATTTATATGAGACCCCATTGTAGGACAGAAATTTATTTTAGGAGTTGATATTGCATACTTGTAAAATTATTCTGCTTAGGCCTACAGCTTAAAATATTTATGAATAAAAATTAAGAAATTCATTCCAACATTCCTCAGATAAATAAAGTTTTAATATTTGTATTGAATCTGTATATACAATTCTTGCTCTAAATTGATGCTCAGTTAAAACCTAGAATGCAAGCTTTAAGCTATATACCAACTTCCATAAGCCACAAGATTCCATGATTCTCACTACTAACTTTTGTTTCAAGCTGCAAACCTGCTAACTGTCTAAAGCAAAACTTTCTCCCAAGGCACGTTGTAGAGAATCTCCAATGCCTCTGTAATTGTTCTGATGGTGGTGCTAGGAGGCACATGACAAAGTTAACTTCAAATCAGTATGTTTAAAGGTCTTCATTATTGATTACTTTTAGCATCTGACCATTTTTAGAGGTGAATAGAACTGATAGCTTTATTCTCTTTCATATGTAGTATCAAAATAGGGTGAATTCTGAATCATTAAATATAAATTAAGTAGCATCATTTTCTAGTAAATTTTCCCTGCATATAATTTTTTCCTAATTCTACATTTTTGAAAAAAAATCCTAACATTTAAATATTAAAGATATCATCTCTTACTTGATCAACAAAAAGTCTATTTATAAATATGATATTACAGAGAGGAAGAATTTCATTTAATTGAGGTAGTGAACATTTTTGCAAAAATTAATTCAATATTTATAGAAAGTTATTTTACAACTTGTAAATAAATACATTTACTTATGTTGGTTGTACAAACTTTCTTGCTGAATTTATTTTATAAATTTTGATTGTAATTCTGGACCATAAACTATCTTAAGCTTATCAATGAGTTGTAGAATTTTTCAGCTCTTTCTCACATAATTAAGTCAAAGTCAGTAAAACTAAAATTCACTTTGAATTGTATAGCTCTTTCATGTCTTAGGACTTCCCTGGTGGCTTACTTTCTTTAATTTTCATGTTATGAGTTAACTAATTTCATCTTCTTGTTCAATATTTTCTCATTTCTATGTAAATGCTGTGAATGGTAATTGAGCACAGTCATTTTCTAGACCTTCATTAAAAAGAAGCATGTCTTTCCTGTTACAACATATTCACCAAAATGTAATTATTTTTAGTTAAAAACTGTAAGTAAAATAATTTAAATCCCCAAATTAAAAATATGTAAACACTAAATAATGTTGAAAGAAGCAATTATCTATTGTTAAACATCTCCACATATTTTTGCATGTAGACTTTGACAACTCAAAGGCATATCCACTCAGCAGAATACTGAATGAAACTTGCTAGAGCCACGCAATGCTGAGGTTATCAAAGGATTAAATATCTGAGAACTAAAGAAAGAACAGCAACATCTACATCACTCTTTGGGAGATGTTAGAATAGCATGTGCACGGCTCTGGATTGTTACTGATCTCATACCAGACACACACCCCATGAGAAGGAGTAAACATAGTGCTTAAGTCTTCCCTTATGAACTTATGAAAAAAGTCTTCTACTTTTTTATTATATCCACTGAAACAAAACTCCATTTCAAAAATCACGTGGACTTATGATGAATTTCTTATCAGAGAAAGCTGAGAATTGAATTTCCAAGTACCGTATGTAAACGCTACCAACTAGCACACAAGTGAACCGTCACCTTTTGGCAGTGTTGCTTTTGTCTCTGTCATGTCCTTTAGATAATCTGCAAGAAAAACAATATAAGTGTATCAACTACCACAATTTATCATATAATGTTATGACTTTCTGTTTAGCAACTAGGATGATGTCTTTGTTATTATTAAAATTATTCTTATACTGAATGTCAAGATAAAATTTTTTTTATTTTCTCTAGATATTAAACTAGTTAAATGATTACAGTATAACCATGAAGTCACCTATGTTTTAATATAACAATGTCTCAAAAACTATTTTAAAACATTCTAACCCATTTACAAAAATAATAATTCATGGTGAACTAAGTTTGCTATTCAAAATACCTATGGTTAAAATAGATCTTTATTAAAATAATGTAACATATGAAAGTAATTCAAACAGCCTACTTGGCCTGTAAGAACAGGTCATTTCTACAGAGGAACGGGAGTAGAGTGAAAGGAACCAGAATGACCTCCTTTCCTGATTCTTTCTCCTGCTCATTATCTTAATCCAATTGCAAGTTTCATTATTATTTCCAAATACAGAGGAGGAATGAAGCAACTGATACCTGCGATATCATTTTTGGGTTAATCTCATAGAATAATTGGAGAAGGCAATGGCACCCCACCCCAGTACTCTTGCCTGGAAAATCCCGTGGACGGAGGAGCCTGGTGGGCTGCAGTCCATGGGGCTGCGAATAGTCGGACACAACTGAGCGACTTCACTTTCACTTCTCACTTTCATGCATTGGAGAAGGAAATGGCAACCCACTCCAATGTTCTTGCCTGGAGAATCCCAGGGACAGAGGAGCCTGGTGGGCTGCCGTCTATGGGGTCGCACAGAGTCGGACACGACTGATGCCACTTAGTTAGCAGCAGCAGCAGCAGCGACAGCATGGAATAATTGGAATTACTCCACTTAAGCATTAGAATGCTATTTGTCTTTAACCCACTGTATTTCAAGTATGGAATCTAAATTCTAATTTAAATGACAGCTAATGAAATTCAAATTGATATATACAGCTTTAATTTGTTCATAAAAACATTAGGAAACTAAGTGGTGTTTTTTTAATATAATCATTTGTTTTATACAGAAAAGCTTTGGATAGGGCAGTTTATCACTATTTGGATGGCCAGAGAGACATAAAAGGTCAGGGGTAAAAAGGTCAGAGACAGAGAATATGAGTATGAGTTGGTTAAATACCCCTTTCAGCCAGTGATCAGTCAGGTTATTCTCTGGAGAGTAAAATGTCTATGAATGATAAGGTGATGTGGCTCATCTCTTTTCTGAGCTTTACTATGTTTTATTCAGTACTCTTTTTAAAAAGGGGTGTGTGTGTGTGTGTGTGTGTGTGTGTGTGTGTGAAATTCTAATTGTATTGTAAATGTTAAGAAAATCTGATTTTTTTATTATAAATAACCAAACTCTAGTTAATGTTTTTAGATAGTGGACTGTCATAGTAAGCTTGCATTAAAATATAATGTGCAACTATTATGTCATATTTTTAATTTATGAAAGGAGGGAAAGAATATAGAGTGCCTCTGACAAGAGTCATAGAGATGCTTGATCTCAATGTTCACATGCAATATTAAAAGAGAACTTGTTCCTTGCTGGTTTCATCCTAAGTTAGAGTAATTCATCTGGTATATGTGTAATTAATTCAAATAATGTGTTTTAGCACATTCATATTATAGGTATATTTAAATTATCCTCAAGAATTCTGAGAATAGCCATGGACACAAAATTTATTTTTATGCCACTTAGTCTGAAACATAGATAAGGTTTACAGTTAATTATCAAAGATATTTTCCTAGATTTATACAGAACATAACATTTGTTAATGATGGTGCAAGAAGCAATGGCAGTATATTTTACTAATTACTTTAGCAATTCATTGAATTCCAATGTATATGAATTTACATTTTAACTTTTCATTAGGAATATTAAAGTTAATTCACAATTATCTGATTCTTTACCAGCCAAGCCACAAGAGAAGTCCATGAACATTGCAGTGGGTAGACTATCACTTCTCCAGTGGATCTTCCAGACCCAGGAATCAAACCGGGGTCTCTTGCATTGCAGGCAGATTTTTACCAACTGAGCTATCAGGGAAGCCTGCTATAATTATCATATACATTTTAACAACTGTAATAAAATAATTTTTTGCCCTATTCTGTCTTCATCTTTTTCTTTTCTGTTGGGAATGGGAAAGGTAAAATCTGAGCACTAACTTTTAATGTTTCTTATTTGTTGAAGTCAGCCTAGAAATTTTCTAACTAGACAGGAAAAGACTCTATGGGCAGAATATTCTTGTTACCAGGTAGCTCTTCACTATTCCAAACAAATAAAACAGATAATAATAAAGTTAAAAATTGAAAGAATGTAAAATGTATTTACATACTCTTTAATTCCCTGTGGAGAAAATCCCCATGTAAATCCCCATGACAAACCACAAGTCACGGTTAGCCTAGCCGATAAAATAGTAGTTAATATAAACAGCATAGTTATGCTTAGTCGTTAAGTTGTTTCTGACTCTTTGCGACCCCATGGATTCTAGCCCACCAGTCCCTGGGGATTCTCCAGGCAAGAATATTGGAGAGGGTTGCCATGCCCTCCTCCAGTGGATCTTCCCAACCCAGGGATTGAATCCAGGTCTCCCGCATTGCAGGCAGATTCTTTACCAGCTGAGCTACCAGGGAAGCCCCTCTGGTATGATATGAACAGCATACTTACTAGAGCCTTTAAAGATGTTTTAGGAATTTATTGTCTATGGTTTAATTGAAAATAGTCAACCCTGCTGCAGAGCTGGACTGGCTAAAGAGTTAAATGGGAATTTGATCTCTTTCATCTAATTCTTTTAATTTCCACACTTCATACACTTATTTTTAAAAAACTAATAATCAAATTCAATGTTGTTTTAGTTGTTGTTGTTTAGTTGCTAAGTCTTGTCTGACTATTTTGTACTGCAGCCCACCAGGCTCCTCTGTCCATGGGATTTCCCAGGCAAGAGTCCTGGAGTGGGTAGCCATTTCCTTCTCTAGGGGATCTTCCTGCCCCAGGGATCGAACCCAGGTCTCCTGTATTGGCAGGTGGATTCTTACCACTGAGTCACCAGGGGAGCCCTGTTCTGTTCAGGCTATGGGAAAAAAGCAGCTAAACCAAAAGACAAACATTTTGAAAGCCATGTGTCTAGAAACCATTTACAAACTATATTTTCACTTTTTCTACCTTATTAACTTTGTTACTATGCCTCTATTATTACACTGGTAAATACACCACACAAAACCATACATATTTGGAAACAACTGATAAACCACCTTTACCTGCAAAAGGACAGCTGAGGATACGTATCAAACTGAACACATTTATAATTCCTATTCTCTGAAACATTTGGCTTGAATTTATTCTCAGGCATGGCAGTTTACAAGTCATAATTTTCAGTGGTCTTCCAAATAAAACAAAATTTCAGCTTCAAAGATATAAATCATATATCTTATATGAATATAAGATATAAATCATATTTCTCCTTTAACTTCTATCAATTGTTTCTCTGAAAGTTTTCAGGTTCTACAGTTGAGGCATACACATAGACAGTGAGTGTGATGACTTTTTGATTAATTGGCCGTCATTCCTATAAAATATCTGCCCTTTCTCCTGCCAATATTCCTAGTCCTATAGTTTACTTCTACTAATCATTCTTATGATCTGTGCTTGCAAGGCATATCTTTTTCATCTTTTAACTTTTAACCTCTGTGTCCATATTTTTAAATTGTCTTTCCTGTAGACAACATGTAGTTAGTTCATGATTAGTTTTCTATATCATCTATTATAATAGACAATAGCCTTTTCTTGGAGTGATAATTCCATTAAAATTCAATGTAGTTATCATTATGCTTGCATAAAAATCCCTACATCTTTGTTTTCTGCTTTATATCTGTTTTCAGTTTCTGTTTTACTGGGTATTTTTAGAATTGGTTGAATATTTTAATAACAATTTTACCTTCACTATTGGTCAATTTGCTATATCTCTTTATTTTTAGTGTCTATTATGGGACTTTTAATATGCATCTTTAATTCATGGCAATTTGACTTCAAATAATTTATACCACTTTTACCTATAGTATCAGAACCATACAATAGTAGTCTCATATGTTCACACTCCTATTTTTGTTTTAAAGCCTTTAAAATTACTCACAGTGCAAGTCTGCTAGCAATGAATTTTCTCAAATATTGATAATCTGAAAAAAAAATCTCCATCATAAAGGTATTTTTAATAGATCTAAATTACCAATTGGCACTTTATTTTTCCTTTAGCTCTTTGAAGATGTTCCATTTTATTCTCTTATGAATTTTTTCTTCATGAGAAATTGGGATTCTTTTGGTCTTTGTTCCTGAATGTATAATTTTTATTTTTTTTATGATTTACTTATTAGCCACAATTTTCAGCAATGTGATTCATTGACATGGCTTTCTTTTTCTTTGTATTCATTCTTTATGGATTTTGTCAAGGCTCTTGGTTCTGAAAGTTGAAATTTTCATCAAATAAAATGTGGATATCACAAAAATGTGGATAATTTTTTGCCAATTTCTTGTTTGCATATCTTCTGTCCCAGCTGCCAGAACTCCCATTATACATTTTGACAGACTCCTTGATTTTGTTTCATGGGTAATTGGGCAATATTATTTTTTGTTTGCTGTTATTATACTCAGTGTGCTTCATCTTAAACAGTTGCCATTATTCTGTCACTAAGTTTACTGATCTTTTCTTCTGTAATATCTAATGTGCTTTAAGTATATCTGGTGAAATTCTTATTTTATAAGAAATTCAACTGTAGAATCTCAAGTGTAGAAATTCAACCATAGAACCTGACAATTTTCAGAGAAACAATTGATAGATGTTAAAGAAGAAATATGATTTACATCTTATATTTCAAGTCTTTGAAGCTGAAATTTCTTTTATTTAGGAGATCATTGAAACCTAGACAGCATATTAAAAAGCAGAGACATTACTTTGCCAACAAATGTCCATACAGTAAAAGCTATGGTTTT